GATGGCAGTTTTGCAAACTCGATGCGTCGACCTGAACCGTCGATGGTGCATCGATGCATTGGCAAGATATGTAATCACTCACAAACGGCGAGGAAATTAAAAGAGTTTGAGAAGGAAGAATGGAGATTGCCTAGGAAGAGAGCGTAATTCTAGAGGCCGAGGTTTTACGGAAGGAGGGATTCCAAGCCATCGCATCCCTCCTTTCGTAAAACCTCGGCCTCTAGAATTACGTTGTACCATATCTTCTCGTTCTCGCTTCCGGGCTCTGCAGGTTCTGCTATCACTCTCAAGTCAGCAAATTTTTATTTTAGCACTTTACTTCTGTGTCTGCCGATGGAATGCAATGCCTCAAATACTCCAGTGTATCGTGACAGTCCTAATGCAAGTAGGAAAACTCCCGTAGGGCCCAGTTATAAAAAAAGAGCCTGAGATACTGAGTCTCCCGCGAATGGAATAATCTCCCATCTTTGCATGGAGCCCAAAGAGGCATTCAACTTCCGCGTTGTCAAAGCCATACCTTACCCCAACCTTTTCTCTCTTGAAGGAAATAAGAAAGATAAGAAGAAAACATATTTTTCTTTTCACCAAGAACAGACGACAGAAAATCTTCACCCTATTTGGACGTGTCCATGAAAGGATGCCCAAAATATAATCAACTGTCACATTCACTACTCTCTGGTGATAAAATTTCACCAACTAGATTGTAAACCGCTGACAAGTTTTATGAAAGGCTCCTACCTCCCAAAGTCCTCCAAACGAGTTTCTGAGTGAGAACGAACACGGAGGATTTTGGCGTCTGCTTTCCACATTACACAAGGTCATCATTTCTGAGTCGCCCCTCAGCTAATCTCACGAGGTTCCTAACAGAACCACGGGATAATCAGGGAAGAATCTAGCAATACCCTTACCTCTAACTAGAGGTAAGGATTAAGTCTCGTTATGTATAACTTTAAAAATCAGCACCATCTTTCTGCGTTATCCCCCGCCCTTCCTGAATCTGGGTCCCGGTCAACCATACCGGTTATTAGCAGCTTATACGCCGTATCGATCCGATGTATCGGTTCTTCCTGATATTGGCAGATATCCAATATAATATTGCTGCGTCTGTAATTAAAGACTTCTTCAAAGTCGAACACTTTAAGATAGCTTGAATGGGATGCCATTAATTACATTCAGTCGAATGCTTCTCTGTCACACGTCTCCAATTTAGATGTCATTAAAGCATTTCGCTATTATACTGGGTGCCAAGAAACCTTTTTCTGGGGGTCTACAGCCAGAAGTACGCAACCGACCTCAGTGTTTAAGCATCATACTAAGGCTTGATTTTTTTTTCTCTGCTTCTCAGGTGACTTGAGTGGAACGATCATGACCGGCCTTCTTGATGATTGATCGGTTGCATACTTCTGGCTATAGACCCCTAGAAAAGGTTTCTTGGCACCTAGCATGCAATAATTCAATCATTCTTACACTATTCTTTCGTCAAAGAAAAATATATGGGATATCATGCGGTAGCACGTGACGCAGTTCATGTCGTGTCGATCCAGAAACCGATGCTGCTTGTGAGGCGTACGGCAAATCCTCTTCAGACGTGTCCAAATAACGACGACGAAGGACATGAATTCCAGGCCCATGACCTTCATAGATGTCTCTAGGGTGTCTTCACCTCCAATGTCATGTCTTTTAAACCTCTTTTAGCTTAGTCAGTTTTGTACAGAGGAAAAGTACTCATTTTCGTACCGTGTACCAAGAGAAATAGTACAAGGGAAAGTGAAATTTATTAGACCCTCCTTCAAGCCTAAATTAGATAACCCGAAGGTTTACTAGAGGAAAGTTAAACATACGATACATGCGTAAAAAAAAAAGAATTAACTACCGCAGAAAAGAGTAGTTCCTCCCAAAGCGCAGAGCATGCGGACATTGTTCTGTAGATGTTTTTTTTTCTGCGTTTATTATTATATTGACAACTCGATATTTGCTGTTTCTTTCTTTTGATGCAAATTCTGGATATTTTCTGAGATCGAACTTGGCAGAATGGTGATTTAATGTTTGCACGTAAGAGCTAGAACCCCAGCTTATTTTTGTCGTGGTCCTGGTTTCAATATAATGGCATGCGCTGGGGCACAATGGGTCAAGACTCATGGTATCCCCAATGTTTTATGAGAGTTGCAAATGTAGATGATGATTCCTATGCAGTCGTTATGTGTCCGGATAATGCGCCAATATAAGCGCAAGATCATGAAGGGTTTAACACCATCACTCCCCCCCCCCTTAGCTCCTGCTCAAGATAGCATCGCTCTGGTATCCTGGTCCCCCTTTCTCTCGGGGGGGGGGGGGGGGGGGGGGAAGGACAAAGGACATCAAAGAAACAGCCAGACGAGAAAGTGAGAAGAAGCCAGGGAGATTGAAAGTGAAGGTCACGCTAGTCACATGTGATTACTCGCTTGAGCAAAGTGAAAATGTCATGGAAGCGTCCTGCACACGTGACGCAGTTGAATTTTGTCGAGGGGGGCGAAGAAGGAAGACTTGGAAGAAGGCGTGAATCGCGCACAGGTTATCGAATTCCCAGTTGCATGTTTTCACCGTGAAATCTTGGTTGCGTCCTGAAATTAATTTCGTTTTTCTTCAGTTCTCGAATGTGCTGAATCGTTCATTTGTTAAATTCAGTTTTTCCCGTTTTGTATAACTTTGCTCAGTGACGTAACCAAGGGGCGGGGGGGGGGGGGGGGTCAGACCCCCTCCCTCGCTCTTCTGAGGGTAGGGTCACAGAAAGATAAGTTCATTTTTAGCTTTCTTTTCAGATATGGAATGTGCTTTATCATTTACATCAGTGATACACAAGCCGCTGTCCACGGGCCGCATGCGGCCCGCAGAGACCTTTCTTGCGTCCCCTTGGATGTCGTATTTAGAGAAAATAGTTATTGAAAAGCAATGCCAAAAGTTAATAATTCTGTAATAAATAAAGTCATTGATTGATAAACGGGTATAGCAGACACAATCTTTGGTGGTATCTGCGGCCCTCGAACATGAGCCGAAATCTCAATTTGGCCCTCTATGGGGAAAAGGACCACTGATTTTCATGGTTTTATTTAAAATTAAATTAAATAATTCTTTTCATTTTCTCTTTTCGCGTGTTCGATGCCGTTTCGCGTTTATGTTGTGAATACATCTCTTCCGATGATTTGATAACACCTTCTTGCATTCGGAGGTCATAAGAACTTCCCCTCCTTCCCCCCCCGCAAAAAAAATAATAAAATAAAACAACAAAACTTTAGGGCTGGTTTGACTGACTGCTTTGTTTTTTTTTTCAAAATTAGAGATGCAGTTACCATTTTTTTCATGGACACAAACTGGTTCCATTTATTCAAGTCGATAACATTTATTAAGCACGGGACTAAGCAACTACAGTGGTTACGACCGTTTGGTGAGGGTGCATTTTTGTATGTACAGGGTGTCCCATAATTCACCATCACTTCAAAAGCTTATATTTTCCAAACTTTGTAGGACAAGATTCCAGCTGGTCTGGTCCTCAAACTACCATTCATATGGCAACTTTTTCTACGTTGCTACAATGTCAATTGCCAAGTCATTTCTCATAACAGCAAGCAAATTCAGGTATCAATTCGTACTATTCCTTCACAATCGTAAATTTACCCAAAATGGAAACGAAAGGCGCAAGGAATCAACGATATCATAATAAAAGTCTTTGAAATTTCAAAAAATTACTTTGAAAAAGAGGAATCTCTTTCAAATGCTTTAAGCTAAAATTTCGATTTGCCACGATTTCCCGGTTCTATCGTAAAAAAAATTCGAAACAATCAGCATCCATCGATGCTAATTGCATGTACCTGCATGTACCAGTAGCTTGGAAAATACTAACTTACGAAATGGTGAAATGAATTATCGGACACCATGTGCATGTGAAAACCAAAATGCTGTCCCGGACAAATTAGCGCGTGTTCCACGTCGCTTTAGGCTTGTGCAGAGAATAATATATACATATATATATATATAGATTGAATAGAAGAAAACTGCGATGTTCCTCCCAGCCAAAGCCACCCCACGGCAACAGGCAGGAAATGTCCGGCCTCTAGCAACAGGCTAACGAAAGCGAAGAGGAAGACCAAAACGAAGACGAACGCATGAACAGTGGCGTATGCAAAGGGGTAGGGGGCGCCACCCTCCTCCTCCCTTCCCTCCATGATTGCTTCAAGTACACAATCGCAGGCAGTCCCCTCGTTTCTTCTCTCAGCATTTCCCCGGTCGCCAATCTCTTTTGGGGTTCCGCTCTTCCGTCCCTCCTCCTAGAAAAATGTATGGATCCAACGCTGGACAGTGATGAGCCGAGTGACAGGAAGATGCCTCCAGCTTCATTACCACCAAGGAACCCATATTTGTGGTGCTGTTCACATATCGGGTACTTGGAAAAGTGAGAATCACAATATCCAGGGCCCAGTATCTTGGGAGTAAGTTACTGACCTCTTCCTCGCGAGCGGGGTGGGGGATGGGGGATTAGGAGAGTGTGGGGTACCGCGGTACTTCGGCAAAATCGAAATACCGCCCAGCCCAAATTGCTACTATTGTCGGTGCCCTGACAGTGACGAGGACTAAAAAACATTGTCGAATAAAATCCTTGATTGTTGGCTTCCATGAGTTTCATTTTCTATCACGAAATGAATGTTGCCAACCTCTGGGCGCACCTCTAAGGAGGAAAACCTGGTGGCATCACTCCATTCCTCCAATACCAGGAAGGGTAAAAATATTTGCTCTGTTGCTTTGCCCATCGGAGGTGGAGATTACACAAGCCAAAGGATTTCAAAATCGGCATATAACTTTGCTGTCGGGTATGAAGAGGTTAGTATCCTCCTCAGCAAGTTTGTCAGTACGTTGTGAGTCACCTGTGATTTTTTTTTGTTATAATGGATCGCAAACTCTTGTTTATGGGCAATAAAGGATGACAATACGACGAAAAGCGGGTAACGAGACAGAGCTACACTGGTTCCCGGAACTCTACGGCATGTCCACCATCGGGTTCTCCACGTTCTCATTCCGATTTCATCATGGCGGTGGAGGAAATGCCTGACGTGTCAGCTGAGAGCGGCAATGATCCTTCAAGTCCAGATGTCGATGCTTCGGCAGGAGTTTCACGAAAATTCAGCATGCAGAGTATCCTTGGCTACAATTGGCATCTTTGACACTTCTTCCATTCGAAGATTTCCTTGAAAGGCCCAATATTAGGTGTTGGCCTCTCGGCTAGTTACGCGAGTCCGCTAACACTACATGGCCTAGGTCTATCAGCTACATCCACACAAGACCCAAAATTAAAGAGGTGGTGGCCTAAAGGTCGACCATTGGAGGAGGAGTTGTGTATGAACGGTCTGGGAGGGGGAAATTTTGTTTTGCAAGATCGCAATCGCAGGATTAGTTCCATTCTCTATATACATAATTAGTTGAGAGTAACGTTTTTCCATGTTCAAAACGAAAATTTTGAAACCCACCAACTTTATTAAAATGAAAGACATATAAAGTGTGCAGTAGTGAGTAGCTTCCTCATAGATTCCCAGAGCATGTGCCCTGCAATGTCAAAAAAATAACTTCAATGACGGTGTGAACAAGGTGTAATTGTGCCAGGATTAAAAATCTCCAATCTGGGTTTAGAACCTGAGATTTCTCACCTGAACCTGAGAGTCAGAACCAATGCTGGTAATGGTACATACCATTGGTCGAAGTGGGCAAGAGTGTAATCAGTATTCCCTTTTCTGGCCTGTGAATAGAACCCTAAGCAAAAAGGAACAAGTCAGCAGTTACTACTATTTTGGGATGGACTTGTTGATGTATTCAACATGATGGTTTCATTCATGATGAGGCCCATCAGTAATAATATTTGCACAATTTTAGTCAAATTTGATATTACTTCCATTGAGTCCCTAAGATTTTCAACCAACCATATGAGAAATTAAATGATAATGGCATGCCTTGAGCTCATCAGAGATAATTGAAAAAATTGTCAAACTCGTATGAAAAAGTCATGTCCCATCATGATTTGCATTATAATTTGAATATTTTCCTTTAGAATATAATATTCAGTACTGAAGGTAATCCGTGAATCACAGCAGCAACATGGACTTCGCCATGGAGATTATCAGCGATACAGGTGAATTCCTTGGGTTGGCTTCTAGGCTAGGCATGGAATTACATTCTCTTGATATGCATTCATATAATTCTGTAACATTTGACTTTTTTTAAGAGAATATGGAAATGGAATTACATATTTCACAAGAATGAGAAAAGTAGACCTTTGTATAATACCTACTAAAAAATTTATCAGCACTCCCCAGAGCTTCTTCAGTGAATATAACCCATTATTTTCCTGTTCATTGTTTGGAATTAAGTGTGCTGATCATATTGATTTGTATATTTTTGGATCTCATCTTTGATTTAGTTTACATAATACATTAGGACCCTTGCAGGATTCTTTACAGGGGAATAAAGGGAAGATAGATGGGTGTGTCATAACTGCTATTTCTAGACTGATCAGTTTTTTTTTTTTTACATGCTATATTAGTGAATGTTTCTCAATTGTATTTAATGTATTTTTGGCTGTCCCTGTGATTTTGATTTTTTGGATTGTCCACATTCCAGGGGGTACTGCTCAAGACGAATCAGGAGGCTTCGAAAAGCCCTACATTTCCCAAATGATCACAAGAAAAGGGACTTCAAAAAGAAAGTTGTTACTTCAGAAGTTCTCACTGATGAGAGGTTGGATTTTTATATTTACACTGTATTTTATACCATGGTAACCAAATTAAGCCTGCTTAACTGACAAGCTTCTGGTATGTGAGTAAGAAAAACTTTTTTGGTGTCCTTGTTCTTCCTTATCCATTTACTCCATCAGGATGGATTGCAAATGACAATTTCCTGCATATTTTCACTTTAACTTGAGTTTAAGAGATGGTAGGATTTGTATACACTTCAGTCACAGTGGGGCAATTGCCTGATCTCACCAATCCAAACTGATATTTTCAGGTACATCTTGATCCCGTTAGTGACAGCTGAGAGAGCCTGGGCATATGGAATGCAGTTGAAACAAGAATCAAATACTGAGCCCAGGAAGAAGTTTCACATGATTCGTCGCTTGCGTAAAGCTGCTGCTCATGCAACAGCTTTGGACCATCTCTGTGAGGTGGGATTCCTAACATTTGTCAGCTTGACAATGGAAAAGTAGCATGTGATGTCAATATTACTGTTAGAGTTATCATAAAATTTGAAGGAAAGCACTTTTGCCTTCATGCAGAGTCCCCACTGCGGTGCAATCCTGAAGTTGGAAGCCCAAGCATATGCTGCTTGGATGAATGGAGTCCTCAAATTTGAGTTGCAAGACTGGAAAGCTGCATTGGAGAGCCTCTCCAAGGCCCAGTAGGTTCATGAACATTTGCATTCTTGATTTTCCTATGCCCTTGTCAATTTTGAACAAAACTCCCTCCTTCCATTTATTCCTCACCCCTGAGAAGTCACATTACGAATAATTGCCTGAAAGAAGTCTTTATGCTTGTTGAAACCATTGTTTTGAATATGCCATGATGTTGAATTTTTTTAATAGGACCATCTACGAGAAACTTGAGGCCACCATGCATGAAGATGATCGAGATATATATAGGGGAAAATTGATGGAGTTGCAGCCAAGCCTGCGGTTCTGTGCCTACAATATTGGAGATGAGTCTGCTGCAGCTGATTTGGTCAAAATGCGAGAACAGGGCTGTCTGAGTGCTGATCTCCTCACAGATATTGATGTAAGCAATTAAGCCTTTTCTTTGATCATATTTAATCCTAAGGCTGCAATGATATGGTGTCAGTTTACGGGACCCTGATCAATTTGGAAGTCATTATATATTTTCTCATAAGACCATGAACAAAAGTGGGTGGGGCTTGAGATTCTCTTATGTATGCTTGACAAAACCTTGGGGGGGAGGGGTATAAGATGTACCATTTCCCACATTCCAACACCAACTGCCTACCTGTGCAAGAGGATTTGTGAGATTGACATACCAAACATTAGAAATCATGGAAGGTGGGGCTTGACATAATGAACTGCATTTCTAATCCTCAATGGCATTCTCTTACGTGAGGGTTGTGATTTTATTTTTGGTGATGAATCTTTTGGAGCATTGTTCATCCATTTTTCATTTTATGCCTATCAGAACTTGGTGGATCTCTTGCTTTATGTGATTTCTGCTAGTCTAAAGACTAGTGGAAATTACATAAAGCAAGTCTTGCAATAAGCAAGAAGATTCTCATGATTCAAATTTTGTTTATGAATGTCTTGATTGAAATTAATTCTTTGGGCTTGAAGGTATGAAGATAAATATCAGTATTGATTTTTTTTTTCATCAATATTTGAATTTGGATAAGGGTCAAAATTCAATTTCATTGGATGTTTAATTAAAAGCTACCAAATTATGAAAGATTGCATTTTATTTAAGAAGCTAAATGAAAACTAATATACTTGAGTAAATAAAGATAACTGTTGCTAAAATTTTCCTGTTTTAAAAATAGCATAAAATGATGCCATGCTGCCTATGAAGCCCCAGAACAATATCATTCTATTGTATAAACCATAATGAAGGCCTAATGGGTAGTTCTCTCATGGGATTACTTAATTGACATGATTACATGAATTGTGTGCATTTAAAAATAGTCTCTCATGTTCAGCTGTGGGAGTGAGTAACTTTCTTGTTGGGACAGGAACTGCTGGCACAAACACGTGAGAAGCAAGCTGCAACCTTGTCTGAGGTGACATGGCGTGGGCGAACTGTGCCATTAAAGCAAGAAAAGGTTTCTCTCTGCCTTGTCAGTGTTCAAGAAGGGGAAGCCATGTTGGAAAAGGCTGAGAACTTGGAGGCTAAGCTCTCCATATATGACAATCTCCTTGCAGAGTGCAAGGATGCTTTGCAGATCCTCAAGGATGAACTTCGCAATGATCCTGTGAGCCTTACACTTGTATCAGTTGCTTTTCTGAGAAAAGTTGTGGCTTATACACGATTGACTATATCTGCATGTTTTTGAAATTCCAGAGCTTCTCCCGTAGAGTGGAGGGAAGTGCAGTGTCATCTCTTCACTACTTGCACTCTTATGTTTCTTTCCTCCGACTCACCAAGACAGTGGAGCGAAGCCGTCTCCTCATTGAATCACTTCAAATCAATCAGGTGAGCAATGAAGTGTATGAGTTGATATTAGGATGGAGTTCAAACTCAAACATCTTTATCAAGGTTGGACTATTAAAATGTGATAGCATGTGTTTTTTCTCCCACATTTTCCATGTTAATCTGTATACAATATTGAATGTATTTACTATATTCAACTTGTTGTCTCATCAATTTCATGTTTAAAAAAGCTTTGATATTAAATTACAAATGACCTACTTTAAAAATTTCATTCATTTTGCATGGTGATTTAGTACTACTAGTTTTCTGCATCTTGCTTTGTTGAGGGATTTAAAAAAATACAGGTTTTTTTAATGCAGGAGATAATTTGAAACATGATAGAAGAAATAGACAGAGAAGCATGTTCTTGAAGCAGAGTCTTATCTCATTGGCCTTTAATTATTCTTAGAGTTTGAGGTCTTCATAATCAGGTTATACTTGTGTTACCTTTCTTTTATTTTCAATTTTGTTACCTTTTACCCATGCACCATATTCTGACATATCCTTTTTTGTCGTTTTTATTATGATGGAGAATTCCCATTGAGGAAAGAGTTACTTCTGAAGGTCATTGAGTCATTCCAGTCTGAGCAATCTAAGGAAAAGAAGCTGCAACTAATGTACCAAAAACTGTAGAATTCTTGAAAATTTTCTCCTCTCCCACTGAATTTCTCATTGGAAAATGTAACAATGATTATGCAAAAGCAGGGCAAAAAAAAAGGATGAGATCCAAAGTTCATGTTCATTGTGAATTTGTACAATTAGATGATCTTCATGAAAGTGTATGGACAACCATCAATTAGAATGTGGTTCTAGACCGTCTTTAGTTCATCCATTTCATCCACTCATAGAGTGGGAAAGAATGTCCTGCTGATGACTTGAACATGCTAGGTGAGGTAGAAATGTGGAAGTAATGATGTCATTGTTTCTAGGGTGAGAGAGGAGATGGGAAGCAGAGCAAGCCACAGGATTTTATTCGTCTCTATGAAGTCATCATGCAGAGTCTCACTGAAATGCAGCAGTTACCTGGCATTGAAGAAGACCTTGATACTGTTCAGCAGCTTTCCTCACAAATACTAGCATACAAGGCCTTCAGGTATGCTCAATAGTGATACTTCAATTGCTTCTTTTTCATTTGTGATCTCATCTGGCATGGGACTGATAAGGTCTTGGACAGGATATTACCTGTCATGACTTTTATGACCTCGCATGGACAAGACCAACATTTTGAAATTCAAGCCATGGGGTGTTTGTTGCTTCAGATGTAGTTTATTGTTGTCTCAACCATTCTCCTCATAACTACTAGAAACTACTAGTTACTACTGTAACTAATAGATTCAGCCTTGTGCCACTAGTTGATTCTCAGAAGTGAGGCTATATAGAGATATAAATTTGTTGCACCTTAGGAGCAAAATAGTAAATTTTACATGAAATTTAACAATTGATCCAAAGTAAAAATACATGGTTGTGGTTGATATTCATTGTTCTAAGTGTGGTCCTTTGAAATCCTGACCACTCACAGAGAGTATGTTGCACAACTTTGTTCCATAGTTGGATGCATCATTGACTGAAATTCATGAACACAAAACACTTGTAAACACTTGTATGCAAGGACCTATCAGAAAATTCTCAAACTGAATCTTTTCAATTACCATTCCATTGAGGCAAAGCACACCACCATGTGGTATATTTCAAAGTAGTCACTTTAGGCAGTAACATACTTTTTTGCAGCAGTTGTACACTTGTGTGATACAAGGTTATAGCCATTTTCTGAAGCCACTTACAGGACTGCTGTCATGGCTGCTCACATCACCTTGATATTATCAAAACAGAAAGAGAATGAGATCACATGGAACCAGACCTGTGTTGATGCTTTTGTAGAGATCCAAAGCAGTCACAATGGCAGTAGTTAATGGAAATTTGCCTTTAACCTTGTATCATGCAGGTGTAATTTATAATTATTTTATGTATTTTATTATTGTGAAATTGTTAAGAGTTCTTACATTAGAATCAGTAAAACTTACCAATATTGGCTGATTTAATATATTGCTGAGTGATTTGCTGGGTTAAGACCATACCTTTAAGCCTTTGAGTAGTAAGCCCATAAATATACATTTAAAAAAATTTTAATGAAATTTCCATTTATGTTTTGTGTAAATTACCCTTTTTGAGTTTGTTGCATTTTTTGCCTTTCACCCTCTACAATCAACAGTTATCTATCTTGTTATGAACAAGAGCATTCAAGAAATTTATTCTTGAAGGATCTTGGATTTTTTTTTCTTTAAGACATTATTGGAACGTAAAGAAAACTCACCACTCAAAGGGTTAATGAAAAAGTGGTGTACAGTTTCATCACACTCCTTATCATACTATGGGAGACTCCAAGATCGTCCACGACCAAGATTCCTAAGGCTTTATATCTATTTCCTATTTATTGTGCAGGGCCCATTACATGGCAGAGGCATTGTTTGGAGCCAAGAAATGGCTGGAAGCCATGGGGATGTACCAACGAGCAAAGCAACATGCTCAGGGTGCTCTTCGAGACAAGATCGAAGATGAGTTGAAAAAGAAACTAGAAGATTTTCTCTTGGCAGCAGATGCGAAATGCATGTCTGCTCATGCTTACAGTATTGCTGGTGATGAGAATGTTTCTCAGCGTGTTGAAAATCTTGGTGTGGATGCATCAAAGGTGAGGAGATGGCTGAGAGCCAGATTCAATAAGTTTGTACTCTTATATTGATTGACTAGTTCCTGTAGTGAAGCACAATGACAAGTTCCTGTAGTGGAGCACAAGTAATAGACAGTTTCATTAACAATCAGTATGAAAGAGGTGCTTTTGATCAAAGTGCCACTTCCGTGAAGAAACTTTAAGTACTGCTTAATTCTTTTCTGCTGGATTAGCAAAACTTCCATTCCAGTACAGTAAATATGGAAGTATCCTTCTTAGGGATGGAAAAAGAAAACCATTTTACACTTATAATGGTTTTTCATCTATGGCAAAAATAACAAGAAGCTGTTTGTAATTAGTTATATTTGGTTTATTAGTTTATTATATTGGTTTATTTATACTCTCATCTCACCTATAAGGACTGATCTCTTCTCAAAACTTTTTTTTAACCCTTTCCTGGGAAATATGGCATGTCTTCATTTTTTTTTTAAATATTAAATAAATTACTTGGAAGCACATACATTCAATTGGTATCTTTTGTGGAACAAGGGACAAATCATGACCAATAACAAATTCCCACCCATGCCAACCAGTATTGGTGAGAAGCAGATTTCCCAATGCTTTAAGCACTTTTGTGGGAGGTATGACTCCCTTGGCCCACAAAAGGGTTAAGGCAAGTAACCAGTAGAAGTTACATCTTCAGGTGATGTAACTGAAACCTTAGACATTATGTGTTTTGCTTTTTTTTATTGCTTTTTTCTGGATCACAGAAGACTTGAAAGTTATACCATGACATGCAGATACTTCTAAAAATCTTTGCATGAAAGTGTGCAGCTGAACTCATGGTCTCAACAAATATGCTTCCCCTTGCAAAGAGAAGCATTTATTGACTCTTGTGCCATTGTTAATCAAAGAGGAATTAACTGGTTTGACACCCAAGGTCTGGCATACAAGGAATTATAAATTTAACAAATCTGGAAAAATGAATTTATTCCACATTTATTTTTCACAATAATTTTTCTCTTAATTTTCTATTCATTTTCAGGTTGAACCCCCTGCTGTCTATCAAATCTGATAGTTTTGCTAATACTTGAGACAAGATATAAGCCAAAATGAGTGAAGAAATCAGAAACAATCATCTCAATGGAAAAATAAAAAATAAGAACATGGCAAAAGCTGTGAAAGAGACACATGACTTGCTGTTGATTGCTTATCCAGATGGTGCACCATCCTCTAACCTGTTAACTGGCAAGGTTCCACCTGGCAGTGACAGGCTGAGTGGATAGTTTTTTCTGGAACAACTCATGTATGCAGTGGAGTTTCATTTAACTCCTTTTTTAGTCAAGGGAAATGTTTCATGAAAGTTTCAATGAATGACAATCCCAAGATTCATCATTCACATCACATGGAAGAATGGCCACAATGAATTTACTCATCATACCCTTTTGCTGGCAAGTTTTTCGTATGTATAACCTTCCCAGAGCACAGGAAGGGTCAAAAGTTTTCTGAGAAGTATACCCACTGCTCATGAAAGGGTTAAAAGGTTATGTAATTTTACAAGTTGCTTCCTCTTTTCTGAGGGCTGGATGACTAGCAGGTTTTGGGCAATCATGGTTGACAGTCAGTCCAAGCATTGATCATTTACCACAAACATCTAGCCCTCACAAAAATGATGGTGCTACTTTCAAAATGACTTAAAGAATCACCATCATCATAATCATTGCAGTATACAGTTGCCTACAAGTTGTGCATCTCTTTTAGAGTTTTAGGAAGGTTCATTTTGGCATATTCCACTGAAATGATTGTATCTAGAATGTCTTCCTTTTTTTTACATAAATCTAAATAATTATCTGAGACAGTAAGCTTTCAGAACCCACATTGAACAGCAGGGGCTTTAATCCAAAAGAAAATGGGAAATTATGAGTGACTCCAAAGCAAATTCATTTACCTAACCATTTTAATTGGCTAACTTTTGATAGGTAACCATTCAGTTCTTTTTTTTTACACTAAGAATAGAAAAACCTCCTAATGAAGAGTAGGAAGTAAGCTACATATACTTGTGACAAGGTTATGCAGTTATGTATTATTATGAAGTTCATTTGTTGAGTTAAGTCTCGTTGAGAGACTGGATGCAACATATCCTTTATTTTCTTGCATCTTTCTGATATGGTTCTTGGATTCCTAAAGAATTTTAATTGAAGCAGGATTGAAGAGGAATGAAGTACATCAAATATAGGGTTCTATTACTTTTCCATCTAGCCCCTCATTGATCGAATGGACTACTACTATGAGGATTCAAAGCTGTTGACAAAGAATCCAAACTTGGTGAAGTTCCCTCCAGACTTCCAGCCCATTCCATGCAAGCCACTCTTCTTTGACCTGGCCCTCAATCATATCCAATTCCCATCACTGGAGGACAAACTAGAAGCACCCAAAGAGGGATCCAAGACTGGAATCTCTGGCTTTGTTCGAGGACTTTGGGGATGGGGTGGTTCCAAGAAATAGGCCATCATGGATTGGCTTCTCTTGTTTTTGGATGGAATTTTTGGTCTATATACTATGTTTCTGATAAGGATTCTGGATATCATGTCTCAAAATTTCAATATTTGTTGGTGAGGCTACTCACATTGACTCTTTGCATATTTCATGCATTCCTTCCTATTCCTTCCTATCCCTCAACTGAGGGGCATATCTAAAAGACCCTCCCTTTCACATGTTCATGCTAAACTGTGACTTGATGATGAAGACAAAGTATCCACCTGGCAAAGACATCTTTGATATGGTGAGAGGTGACACTACTCTATATGTGCCTCTGAAATGTTATCTGTAGTTTGAGTTTATCTCCAGTAACCATGGGATTCAACCATGCTATCAACTGGAGGAACTCAATTATTGTGGTGGCTTCATGAGAGAGCCTGTGTGCTTTTTGGTATTCCACAAGATGAACCCTCTTTGCTATTTTGCATTTGTCCTTACCTGAAAAGGCTGGAAAACTTCAGCGTTATTTACTCTTGTGCTGGCACTTTTTGGAAGTGCAGTTACTTCAATCTGATTACCTTGATTTCACCTTTGGGCTGTACATGGGTGTCCTGGGGCTACACCTTTGCGAGCAATTCTTACTTCTACGCTTTTTGGATTAAGGGAGCTATTTAACATGGTAAAGTTATGAGACTGTTGCCTTAGGCACAGTTTCATGCACATGGCTACTGGATTTTGAGGAAGGAAGAGGAAATTTTTCACTTTATTGCTGTGCACAATCTTAATGCCCAGATGCTCATTGTTGAACGATTGCTGGCAATTCATCTACGAGGAGGATGGAGGAGAGACAGGAGATACATGGGATTCATCATGTTTAATGTGGATTATACTTGGAAGTATCAACTGCTACCAATGAACTATCACGGCTGGAGGATTGAAAGTGATTGGGCTTGGATCAGCAATCTATATAAGGCAGGAAAGGGAATAAAGTTAGCTATTCTTGTTTCCCGAGTACAGTTGACAAGCTTCAAGGAACATAATAGTGAAGAATATACAGAGTGGCTTAAAAAAAAAATTCCGAAAGGAGATTTCTTTAGGACTAGCTAATCAGAAGAAAAAATTTCACGAGGAAATGGCCGACTCGTTCTTCGAGTAATGCATGTTATTTGTGAAAATCCGTTGATTAATTCCAAAGTTTCAGCCAACGACGCGCCGGACGGACGGACATAGCCACTTATGTCAGGTGAACACGCTCGAGATCTCTGGAGGCTGCACGGCTCTCCAACTGGAATCATTTCTTCGAGGCCAGTTAACATACGCGCATGAAAATTTCAAGACAGGTTAGAAGAGTAGATTAGATTGGGCTGAAACCGAAGCCCCGAATAATGGTTCTCGCCCTAGGGCAGTTGACGTCACTGGTATACACTTGCCCCGACTGCTCCATTCTCTCCCTTGCTTTTACTCCGATGCTATTATATTGAAGCAGCATGTCCACATTTCGCAACCAATCGCTAATTTTTAAAAATTCCCGTAAATTGCGGATGAGAAAGAAGCGGGGAGGATTCCGTACTGAAAAGTTCAGAGTGGATGCGACTGTAGTGAGAATATATTATTCACGGAAATTGTTGACATGGGTCCTTCGCCCGTTTGAAATGGCAATGAAAATATGCGCTCATTGTCAGACTGCACGGTCATGGCAAATCACGTGATGTTCATGAGCACCGTGAGGGTTTATATTCTTTCTCACCACTTCAACGAATGACTTCCATTTCTTCCTCACCTTCTTGTCCTTGCTGAGCAACTGAGAATTTATTAAGCGAGTTCAGATGAAAAGCCGCGTTCTTACTAATATTCAGGATACTCGATGGTTGACTTGGAATTTCGATTGGATCTTCTCGGCGAAATATGACTATCAACCCCAAAGGGTTGTTTTGAGATTTATCCTTGATTTGGATAACCGACCAGCAGAAGATCGTGACAAAGTTAAACGGCCTCCGGTGGTCTACTCCGCGCGTTGTGCTGAGTGCTCGTCTTTGCAGTGTTAATTTTTTTTTTTAATTTACCTTTTTTTTTAACTCTTATTCAGAAACCCTTACAGGGAAAATAGGTACAAACCGTGTTCTAACTGAGAGTGATAGAGTTTTAATGCGGTCGCTTCGTGAAGAAAAAGGATTTACCTTGAACCAAATCTTGCGTGAATATCCCGATCGAAAATGAAAAAAAAACGACTGTGCGTTATATCTTGCGAAAACTGTGTGAAACTGGCAGTGCTGAATGTCTTCCAGTCACAGGTCGTCCCAGAAGAGCAAGAACGCCAGAAAACATTGACGCTGTGACCAATTTTCCCTGTAAGGGTTTCTGAATAAGAGTTAAAAAAAAGGTAAATTAAAAAAAAATTAACACTGCAAAGACGAGCACTCAGCACAACGCGCGGAGTAGACCACCGGAGGTCGTTTAACTTTGTCACGATCTTCGGCTGGTCGGTCATCCAAATGAAGCATCAAAGTCTTCAAATTTTCATCCTTCACATTATGACGGTATAGGTTCGTTTTGGCAACTTTTTTTTTTCGGTATGTTTTTTTCAAACGGCCATGACTCATCTCCAAATGAATGTAGGAACCTAAAACCATACATTTTCAGAAAGAGGATGAAATGAACTTTCTTTTAGTTTTTTTTTCGACTCTGTAGCCCAAACCGTTCAGGAGATATTCACATTTTTATACAGGGGCAAAAACTTTTGGCCCACCCTGTATACGCGAGGCCTGGCGTTATCGACACATGACAACAGTTCCCGCCACATCGAAGACACCCTGACATCCGACCTGACCTCGAGACAATGCAGGCGTACTTCCACCAATGGCAACTCCGACCGAACCCATCGAAAACAACAGTGTCGGTATTCCATCTCGACAACAAATATGCCAAAAAGGCCCTCGACGTTACCTTCTGTGGGAAACAGGTGAAGTACGACCCACGCCCGATCTACATTGGGATCACATTGGACCGTACGCTAACGTACTTCAAGGCCCACCTTGAAAAGGTATCAGCGAAAACCAAAACGCGAGCCAACATCGTCCAGACGCTCGCAGGTACTATATCGGGGGCAAAGGCCAGCGTACTCCGGACTTCAGCCCTGGCTCGAGCTTTCTCGGCCGCAAAGTATTGCGCACTGGTTTGGTCAGGGAGTTCCCACGTAAAGTTGGTGGACTCCCAACTGAACACAGTGATGCGGACGATATCAGGAACCCTCAAGCCCACCCCAACATCGTGGCTCCCCGTTCTAGCGAACATACATATGCTATCCGACGCCTAATAGCATCCTTCCGGGAATTCAAGCAGCTGGTCGACAACCCCAACTTACCAATTCACGTCGATCTGGCTACCGCGCAAGAGATATCCCGCCTGAAGTCAGGAAAGCCTTTCTGGACCATCACCCGCCGCCAAGAAGCTCTTCACTATAGCGCCGATGACACCTAGCGATTATTTTGGCACGAAGCGGGAGTCGCAAACAATTTCATAATACAAGATCCAAACACCGAACAACCTATGGTTTCGATCTTCCGGGGCAATTACGGTCACATATCAATCGCATCCGAACTGGGTTCGGCAGATGTGGTCACTTGATGCACAAATGAAAAATCAAAAATTCTTCTGCATGCATTTGTGGAAGCGTCGATCAAACATCTTACAAGCCATTGTCCAATATACAAGTTCTACGGTGGAATCTCTGAACTACACTCGGCTTCGGATTCTGCTATCGAATGGTTATCCAACCTCAAACTAAATTTATAAATTGTTGCTCCCTAGCGATACGAAAAGAAGTTGGAAGGTATCAGGTTGGTCAATAGGTCTTTACCCTGACCATGAAGAGGGGGAGGAGCCACTCAACACCAGTTTAAGGGACACTTGAAAATCTTGAAGGGAAGTCAGTTTAGTTGATTATTTTGTGTGCGATAAGCCTATTTCTCAATTCTGTGAAATTAATAACGGTGTCAATTGAACATAGATCTGTGATCAAGTTTCTGACATTGAAACGTCTCTTTCCAACACAATCCATTCAGAGATGCTAAGTGCTTACGGTGATGACACGCCAGGTTATGAAAGTATTAAAAATTGATCTCTGCAATTTCGTTTGGGAAGAGGAAATGTTGAAGATTAGGAAAGAAGTGGAAGACCAGTAGAAGTGAGGAATAAGAAGAAAGCTGATGAGATTATGGATTGGTTGTTGAGAATCGAAAAATATCACTAGAGACGATTGCAAGAGAGACCGGCCTGAGTAAAGGCACAGTGAACGCTATTATGAAAGAGGACCTCCATTTTAAGAAGATAAGTGGAGGATGGATCCCTTATTTACTGAGGTATTGGGAGGAGGAGAATCGGATCAAAGCCTGTCAAGTGAATTTGAAAGTCTTCAACTCAAACAGAAGGATCCAGCAGTTCATCACCATGGATGAAACGTGGATTTATCACTTCCTTCATAGTCAGGGTAAATACTTATTTACCGACCTTATACTTATGTGGGTCCGTAATTTCCATTTGGTCACAATGAGATAAATTGTTGCACCAAAATGTATGGATTAAATGTTGACAATGCTACATGGGAATGGTCCAAAAGTATCATAATTGATTTTATTTTCTACAAAACTACAACTGAGATAACCACCCAATATTACACACACCTCAGTCAATGTCATTATTACTTTTCCACAAAGTTGCCTTTGACAGCAATGTACTTTTGCGATCTAGGCACAAGTTTATGTATGCCCTCCAGAAAAAAAGGATCCTGGAATGCACCAAACCCACCACATCATAATTTTTTTCACATCTTCCATGGTGTCATAGCAATATCAAAGCAAATCATGTTTCGATGCTCCAAAGAGATGACAATTTGATTGCATCCGATCTGGACTATATGCTGGTCATGGCAAAGAAGTCCAACCTGAGAACAAAAATATATACTTTTAGATCATCCCTCATGCAAAAACTTCACCTTGGGCCAATGACCCAAGTCACCTCAATGACTACATCAACTCATGTGGTTGAAACTTTTTTCCTTACTTCATTAAGTCTTCTTGATACCAATAAATGAAGCACTTGAAACAAGTTATCATATTGAAATTATATTATCTCTTTGCTCACTCTTGGACAACTGTATGGATAGTAGCACTGGAATGTTTCAATCCTCCCTATTAAACCCTGCATACATTTGTGTTAGGGTATGGTCTAGGAGAGGGGTTGAAGGGTATCCTGGTTATTCCATGGAGTCATACTTCACTCAAGTACATCTGTCCTCCATCCTTGCAAGAACAGGGGATATTATTCTCTCAACTCCTTGGGATCATATTTCTTACTTTAACATGCAATCTCTGACTCAATCAAAGAAAAATCACCACAGAGAGAGGATTGTGTGAATGCACAAATCCACATTTTTTTGGGATGAATTTGAACCACTCAAGTTTTGGTGATGCCAGCAAGGGATAGTTCTCAATGGGTATGAAATATGGTAATTGGTCAAAAATACATCTGGTACAATCATGGTACACATGGACCTCCATATCTTTTTGACTTTTCCTCTACCAAATGATACTCCCAAGTAATGATGAGATCAGTACTTAGAGATATGCTCAAAACACTTTCAAGTTTGTATGACCATTAGCAGATTTGATCAGTTTCCACCAACCTATCAGCCAGCCTTTGATTGAGTCAGAGACTGCGTGTTAAGCAAAATTCATGGGTGTAGCTAAAGCTCTTTCAGGTTTCTTCTGAGCTCACAGTTGCCATGGCAACCTCTCTAGCAGACCTAGATGCTACCACCAGCCCTTAGTGCCTCCCTTGCTACAAATTGGAAAGTTCTAGCCCTCATAATTTGCTTACAATTATTCATATGGTCCAGGTAAGGGAACACAGTAACCTCCTTTGTTAATTTCTTCCTGACATACAAATTGCAATTTCAAAATTGACTTGAATAAGGCATTATGATATAGCATATGCAACTGGCTCAATTGATGTCTGACTCCTCATATCCAGTGCAGTGTTGTGAGAAATGAAAAATAAATGAACAAGAGCTAGTACACAAGGGGTAATTATTTATTTTGAGAATTATAAAAAAAAGAGAGACAAAGTGATATTAATAATTACCCATAACCCTAAAATCAAGTAATCTTTCAACCAAACAAGCCAGAGATGAGTTTATATCAGCCCATAGCAAGCCATGATAACAGAGGGACAAACATGAACATCAAGGGGGATACCTGTCATGAATGTTTGTTTGCAGTCATCTGCTGGCAAAGGGCATCATTAATACTCTGGCAATCATTAAACAATGGCAGCTGATGGAGGATGGCATTGCTCTGAGCAGCTGATTCCAAAGAGTATGTGATCCCTTTCAAACTACCATTGGGATTCACATAGACTGAAAACAATTGGCCTTAATGGTGACATAATGAAGAGGAGAAACAGAAGAGAAAACTACAGCATCCCTTATTTAACACTAGTCATCTACACACTCAAACTTAGCTGCTTAGCGGTGAACAAGTCTCGCATAAGCCTTGCAAGGTACCTCTTTTCTTTGCACAAACTCTCAAGTTTTTCTCTCAATTCCTTATTCTTGGTCTCCATAATCAGCTGCTCAGAGCAAAGGCCCTGCTTTTGGTACTTTTGCTTCAAGCGGTAGCGGGTAGCTGCCTTCTTGTTCTGCTCTTTTTTTCGAAGCCTCTTCTCTTCAGGTCCTACTCTCTGCCTTCTCTTCTGGGCATTCATTGGTGATGATATCTCACAGACATCTTGGCAGTCTTCAGTATCCATGCTATCATCATAAGAGGTAGAGGAAACAGATGAAGGTGAGGACGGGAATTCCACACCAGATGAGCATGTATCTTCCCATGAATGCGACAGAAGAGACATGAGTTCATCAGCACTGATGGTGGTAAATCCCTCATCTGAGTCTCCTTCATGGCCCAAAACCTGGACTTCCTGGGCTATGGGCATCTGGACAGTCTTGAGTCTTTCATTAGGTAGTTCTTCAGCGATTTTGGGATGCTGGGAGATGGTAGAAGGGAAATCATCAGACAAAGCTGACTTCCCTTCTGGTGTGGCATCTAGTTGGTTCAGAATGTCGAGATCAATGCTTTGTGCCAGCAGTTGATCAATTGGATGTACCTTCTTCCCATTGACATATAGATTCACTGTCTCAGTTATTGGTTCTTCTCCAGGAAGGGCATCAAAGAGACTCAGATCCATCTTGTTTTCCATCCAGTCAAAGAAATCTGAGAAAAATATAAAAATGACCAGTTTTTTTTCTCACTCTCCATTAGAGGTATAAATATACTGTGAGTTCTGTAACCCCATTTAACCCATTCACTTCCCAATTATATTTGCTGGAACTACCAGTAAAATACCATTGAATTTGATTAAAATATGCTATTGACACTTACAAGCAAATAATTACCCACAAGTGCCAAATAAGTGCAGTCATGTTGGACATAAATCATACCAACAGAAAAGTCAACACAAGACCATCAAAATGACGATTAGGTAAGCCAAGTGCATGTAATGTCAGGCCATCAATTTGACAGTTAAGTAAGTGGATGGGTTAAATTCTGTCAAAAAGCATCTAGTCTCTCAGAAACAGCTATAGTGACAATTCAATATGAAAGATGGATTTCCATTTTCCAAAAACTGATAAAAACTTCAATAGATCAAAGAAAAACAACAAAAAGGGACTTCTACAGAGAGAAAATAGTTATTATTTAGAAGTTCTTGAAAAAACTCTCACTGAAACCTCAACTCACCAGTTTGGCCTTGAAGGCCAGCATGCCCTCTGCCACCATCCACATTGGCAGGCCCTCCATCACTATTGAAGGTTGGGGCCTTAGCATGAAAAAATATGCTTGGGGCCTGAAACCCCAAGCTGATCCCATTGAATTCCTCTGCCATTGATCAGGTGAAGAACGTGATGCGTTGAAAACAGATTGAGAGCAAATGCTCCGGGACTCCATGGTGAACTGAAATGAAACAAGTTCCACAGATGGTGAATGCAAATAAATTTAGATCTGCTAATAGAAACCTTGACAGCTAGGTCTAGGACTTCAGTGAAGAATCCTAACACCATTCACAAACAATTCAGAAACCACCCTTCCAGTTAAGGGGCCATATGCCAATCAATGTACCAAACTTCTGCCTGAGTCTTCAACCTAGTCAAGCTTAGGTATGCATTATCCACTTTGTTAACACCTTAACCCTTTTGTTGCAGCTGTTCACAATAGTGGACAGTAGCAAGCCATGCCAGCAGTACATCTGTAACAGCCAAATGATACCTGTAAATACTAAATCTGCCAGCTGAATGATATAGATCAACTTATTTCTGTAAAGTAATTCGGATCATTGATCTCCGAATCCTTTTTAAATTGTTACAACAGCACAAAACAACAGTACAAAACTCAGCACTGCCAGAATCTGACTATTCAACACTCAGCAGTTTATGGGTTAACCCTAGAAATTCCAACCATAGATAAAATTCACTACCAACCAAAATTTTATAGACATTTGGCAGTTCTAAGGTTAAATTCCTGGACAATGGTTGTATATACCATGCCTCTCAATGCATACATCATCCCTCCCCTACTGTATCTCTTGCACCCAAGGCTAGAATGCATGAACCACTTGGGCATGGGAGATGACATCAGAGATGGAGGTCCCTATCAATGGGCAACTGTCCCAAGCAATATGTGTCTGATGATCATATGATCATTTTCACTTCCTTGGATGATATGCCATGTAAAGAAGTGAGATACTTTCATCATAATAGCTATACTTCTGATGCAAAACCTATCTAGGTCTGCAATTCCCAACTTGATGTTGAGCCTGCCTTATTTAAGCCTGAGAGTTAGTTGCATCCCTCATCTTTTGTCCATGAAATGAATGAGCTAGACTTGTAAATAATAAGCATTAGGAGTTAAGAGAAAAAGACATGTGAAAGGTAAAAGGGTTGAAGGACCAGGAAGAGAGGGACTGGAATAGAGTAGAGTTAGCATCCCTCAATTCCTTGAATACCTAGGCATAAATGATGGGTTGTAAGTGTAAGGTGGAGCAGATAGGATAATAGGGCTGGGTGTAGGAGAGAATGTGATGCTCACAAGGTATACCTACACTGTTTTCGGATTGAATTGGTACCCCCCCTAGGAGCGCTTCCATCAAGTACAGGCAGGACACCTTGTGGATGGAAGGTGAAGTATTAATAGAATCATCCAACAACCATGTGGAGCATCAGGCTATGTGGATGGAAGGCGAAGTATTAATAGAATCATCCAACAACCATGTGGAGCATCAGGCTTGACATCTTGAGGATTGTCTGGAAAGCTTGTGTTTTCACCGTTCTCCACAGTAGGGGGGTACCAATTCAATCCGAAAACAGTGTATATAATACTTCTGAGGGTGGATGTGTGGCAGAGCTAACATAGGACTGGATGTATACAACAGCATGGAAGTATAAGCATGAAATACAATACCCACTGGGGATTGGCTTAGCTGCTGATGTCTACAAAACCTAGATATGGTTATGTCAATAAGAAACTCTTCTATCATTATATCAAATTTCTGCATGTTTCATCAACCCTCGACAATCCAGTATAAGGCCTAGTTCTTACTCCTGCCATGCAGCATGCTGGACACTAGATGCAAGACATGGCAGTTCTTGCCTTGAACCTTCATTAAAACCTTCTAAAAATTGTTTAGCCTTTAAATCTTCTTCAATGATATACATTTTAGAAGCCTAATTTACTTGTTATTAGAAAAAAAAATTGAGTACTCCCTCATGCTCTTGTGAATATAGACCTTATTTTTCCCTCGTGCTCCTCAATAGCACACACTATCTTCATTTTCTCTGATGGTTAGATAACAAAATCCATATCACGCCTTTGATCATATCCTTATCCCAACAGGCCTACTTGCATACACCTCACATAGCTATTTAAAAGGAAAAGGAAATTCCAGCAATGAAAATGGATCCTCCTCCTTGCATGGATGGTAGTGGACAACAAGATGTCTCTATTGTTTTTATCACAAATGGACAACTGGGGATGAAGTTAGCTGAGTGCATGTAGTTTACATGTCTCACCCAGATGAAAATTTCATGTGCACAATTGGGAGCATGGAGTGCACAAACAGGCACCTTCCCTTTCAGCATCACTTCCTCGTCTGTTCTTCAATTGTATTTGATTATATTCAATAGGAAACTCCCAGTAGGTCTTCCATGTTTTATTTTAAAATACAAGGGGACTCTCAGAAATTATAATAAGAGTGCTCAAGGAAAGATGGAAAGGTCTGTCCAATCCCCACTGCTTTTCCACCTGTTTATTATTATTATCGCCATCAGTTCATCATTACTTTCCCCCTCTCCTCGTTCAGTTTCGTCCTTTTTCTTCTCTTTTTCCACATAAACATGGATGCATATTTTCTTCTTTTTCTTCCATCCTGCTGTAGGTAATGACACTGTTTATTTGTGATTAAGGGTGCACCTCTCTTCATCTTCAAAACTGTCATAGGCCATTACCCATGGTTAGCTTCGCCACGCGCTCACTGTTACTACAAAAGATGGATCAACGTAATCCAGTCTTAGTCTAAGGCTGATTTCAAGGCTGATTTCCAGTCGCAGTTCAGGTCCTGTTTTTTGTTCAGTCGTACTTCCAGTTGGGATTTCTTTTTGGAATAGAAGTCGACAAAAGAACAATGGAATCTCAGTCGGACCTAAGTCTGAACTGAAACTAAAACCTAACTGCCGTTTTGAAATCAGCCTGTCTACATAAAATGCGCTTAGCCTGTTATGTACCTCTTCAAGCTACTGAACAAAAGAAACTTACATCATTTTTGGCGTCTTGCGCACGAGGCGCAGTTTCTTCCTCGAATCACCACCCCATCACAATAATCATCTATTCGGGAATTTCAGAAGGAAAACTACTTTTGATGCTGCACTCATTGAGGCTCAATGAAAGAGTGATGACGTCAAGTTGAACTGACGCAATTCTGAACAGTCATCCAGTGATGCCAGAACCCCAACTCTAAACGAAGTCAATGACCCCGTTTGATGACTAACAGAGGTTCTGTTTCTCTGTTAATTATTTGATTATGACAATCATTAAAACATTCCGTGATGTCTCGTTGTCTAGAGGTACGTAAGTTATGCTGCTCCCTAAAACTTTAACTTCCTCAAAGTACTTTTATAATAGCTAAATTGAATAATAGGAATCTACGATTTGCGTTTGACTTCATAGGGAGCCAAATCAGATAATTCAGAATTCCTCTGGTCTAGGTACACACTGAACCAGACTTCGACATAACAGTGAAAGGAAAACGGATCTAAGCGTCTATGCGGCAACACTATTGCAAAAGATGGCGGTTAGCAGGAGTAAAGCTACAGAACCATTGTATGATTTGATGCAGGCCATGAGGTAATAGTTTTGCAGCGTGTCTTTCCGGTTTGGAACAACTCTTTTTCAATTGAATATGACATATTTTCCTACGTTACCTCACGAGCTTGGGTTTATAGTGTTTTCTAGGTCAATGCCATGAGTGTTGACATTTTCTTTTTACTAATGTGCTTTTCTTCATCTTTGCTGAATGCATGAAGGCTGAAGACAGGTGATGATCCACTCGGTCGAAAGCTCTGCTGGCTCAGTAGTTGTGGTTAGTTATTGAGTGTTGGTGTTGCTTCACTCACATTTCATGAATTGCTCTGAATCAAATCTTAACACATTCTACCCTGGTATACGTAAAACAATCCCCGCAGCCTGGCCATTTTGGTTCAAAATTAGGGTTTTACAGCAAAAAAAATCAATAAATACACTAATTGGTCTTAAGAAATAATCACGCCACACTTTCACTAGAATTCCTTTTATTGTGTAGTATGCCTAGAGAAGGGTGGCAAGGTCAGATACATGTGCCAGTCATGCAAAAAGTTCCACTTCATGAAGGGGGCTGCCTTCATTATACCAGGGTTGAATGTTTTAAAAGTGACGAGTTGATGGTCTCATGCCACCAATTGACAAAATTTGATGAGCTTTTATCTTTGTAGAATGAACATAGAGAATTGGCACAGCTGAACTCATTCAGAAATACCGTAAAAAAAGTTTGAAGAATGAATTGCATCGGATAGGATATTTCCAATTCTGGGCTACCAAGAAGGAAGCACCCACAGTCAGAGATTTCCACATTCGAAATCTCTGACTGTGGGTGCAAGTGTTACCAGCTTCACTTTAGATATTCTTGTGTGGTGACAGCATCTAGGCATGAGATAGAAAACCCAAAATTTTTAATGCATTAGAAGCTCCAAATTTCCAAAGTTCTCAGTCCTCTCTAAAGAATATTAGGCATATTTATCTTCATTATTATTATTGCTATGGCACCTGGACAGAAGCACTTAAAAAGTGAATGCCTACAGTGATGCTATGCTATAACTCATTGCCATGATGATCTGGTTGCCCTTATTTTGATTTTTTCTTTGGTAGTTTGGAATGGCATTCGTGACATCCCTTCTACAAAAGACTTCTTTTATTAGGCTATGTCTAATCAAAAGTGAAAATTTTGTTTGGATGTATGTTAGATGTTATGCAAATTTTGTTTAAAGTGAGTTCAGTGATTAACTTAGTTTAATGGTAGTTCGAGTGTATTGTATGAAAGAAGGCATCTGAGTTTTGTTAGTTTTATCAAAACCATTGGAAAACTTTTTTTTATGGCTTTCAATAAAAAAAAGTCTTAGCATCTTTGTCATGATACTGTTGCAGATGTAACTAGGGCTGATTATGAAAAAGTAGGATTTTCTTGAGGCTGTTTCACAGGGTGGAGTTTTAATATGGTGGAGTTAGTTTAATAAATTTAATGAGAATATTACATTTGGAAGAAATAAAAGAAACCTGATGTCAAAATTTTCTAAAAATCCTCACTGTTGCCATGCTGGCAGTGATTTTTAAATTTTGACTGAATTTCCTGACACAATATTCATGTGATTTCAATGGCAAAAAAGGAAATCTTCCTTTGGCAGCTTCCTCTTTTATGTTCCATTTTATACATTAGATGAAGTTATTATTAATTATTTTATATTATTTTTCTATACAGAATATTTCTACCTATTAAATAGGATTTTCAATCCTATTTACTGTAGGACTGTCTGTCTGCTGGGCAGATCTGGCCTGCCAGTCCATTTTGTCTGGTCCATTAAGTCCTCTTCAACAGTTGGTAATGGAAAAGTACTGTAAATTTCGGTCTGTTTGCATTAAAATTAGGTGTCAGATTTTTATTGTGGCCCCTAATCACCCCTGAAGGCTTCCATCCTGCTGCCCCCAACTTTATCAAGTTTGACACCCCTTATCTCAATATTAGGATATATCTGATGACAAATAGCAATACAATTGAGATAGGTCCTATATCCTTGTGAGTACTGCAGGTCATGTTCATAACCCTTCATGTTTTAATTTTTAATACAGGTTGCATTCACCTTAGCAAATTTTGGTTGTTTCAGATTACTTTTCTGCAACATTGTCAGTATTCATGCATGATGCATATTACAGAAATAAATCCGTATGTTATCTGAAAACTAATTGTAAGAAGTGTGAAGTATGAGAAAATCAATGAAATCCTGAGTGATCCAAATTAAGTGAGTTGGTTAAAATGGTGAAATTGGTCAGAAAAATGTTGTTTCAACTAAATAATAAGAAAGAGTCATGAATATAACCTTTAAATTTCCACAATATTGGATGCTTAATTGATGCAGTGTCATCAGTTAAACTTATAGTAGCACAAGTCTAACCCTTGGGCACTAAGTGGTACACAGGAGGTACATAGCCGACATCAAAGCTTGCTTGAGTTCTCTTTCTCTTATAGTGACACATTTCAGGTTGTCATTGTGCATTTATCTGAAGTTTTTTCAGATGTTAATGTTTCTTCTCATGCACATCATTGTACAGTCATCCCTTGTTATCCACAATCCCACTTTGCATGCTTTCACTATAACGTGACTTCATATTAATCCCAACTAAGAAAAATAATCGCTCTGCAAAACACTCTACAATGACTTGATGCGCAAATGACCAGTTGCCAGAGGGATTCAGAGTTCTTTGGCTTGTTACAAAGAACTCTAATGGGAAAGTCAGAAAGCTGCATGTCAACTCTCTATCACTTCTTTAAGAGAACTAAAAGCAACCAATCCACTGAGTCTGAGCTTTCAACTTCTGAAAGGGAGCCTGCCCAGCCTGATTTTGCCTCTGTGCCTTCACCCCCATCAGCATCCCCTGGGTCACCTGATTAATTATTATGTTGTTTTGATAAATGAGTGTTTTATATTATATCATAACATATTAATAAACATAAAACTGTTTTAAAATAAGGAATTTTAGTTGAATTTTTAGTTTGTGATTTTGAAGTGCATTCCATATTATATCATGTCATAATTAACTCACTTAGCATGATGATTTCCAGGAATGCATTAATCACAGATAACAAGGAATGACTGTACCTTGTTCCTATCTAGGTAGGAGGAGATGCCCAAGGGTCACAAATGGTTGCCCAGACACATGTGGGTTGTGCAGCATATTTCAATGCTTGGATTTCATTTTCCATTTCTTAAGGCCCCATCACACTCTATGATTTTGCTCATATATGACTGCTCCCATATGAGCCATGAGCTTGTGAATCGGGGCCTACAAGCAGCTCATAGACTCACATATGAGTGGGATACAACTCATATAGACCCTGATTACATGAGCTCATAGCTCATATGGGAGCTGTCATATGAGCAAAATCATAGCATGTGATGGGGCTTTTAGAAAGATGTCTGCTCTGCTCAGAGAATATTAACATTAGGGGCTCACAAATGTGATTCTTGACATTACAAGGGTGTGGCAGAAAGTGCAGTTTTTGCCTGAAAATGGAGATTATTCAGAATTTTCCATTCCTACCACAAGTTGTCAAACTGAGAAAATGTCTGCTATTAGACTTAAACCTATCGTGAACCATTAAATCCTAGTCCTCATTCGGTAAGTTCTTGTGAGAAGCGATTGTTCTGTGAAATCTTCCTCTTATAGTTAGAACCATGCCTATGCCATAATTGTATCCTAGCCAGAAATGCTCTCTGCCAGAATAGCTTCTTGCACAGGATGTTTATTTATTGGGATTCCCACCTCCTGTAGTTAAAGTGAGCACCACAATTGATGCTTGAAAAAGAAACCACCTCCACTCTTCAATGTTGGTCGAATACAGCCTGCCACCAAAAATATTTTTAAGAATGATTTGTCTACATGGATGAATATTGTTTGGTTGAGGGGGAGTAGAAATTATTTTAGGCTTGCTAGTTAAGCCAAGGGAACATTCTGCCTCATAGCTTCATGCCATGAAATAGCAACAGTTGGATTCTCATGTGGAAGATGGTGAATCATTCATGGGAATTTGTTAGGAGCTCAACATATTAATAAAGCACTTTCCTCTGCACCTATTCTGCTTTACCACGCAATGTTTCCTACTTCTTTCTCATGGCATCAAGCCCTAACTAATAAACTAACTAATATAAAGGGAAAGGAAGACCCCCCTGGTGTATTGCCAGAGTTTTGGAATTTTGTTTCTTGTGCTTGATGGCATGAAATGAAAACTTCTCTCTACCATTTCAAGGCATTTTTAACCTTATGAGAATATTTGAGTCAATTTTTAAAATACAGTATCCTCATAATATCCTGCACTAACTAACTTCAGTAGTGCATGACTTTAAGCAAGAGTGAAGAGGCCCCATGTAGACCCCCTCATTTTCAAGAGAAGTCTGTTGGCCTTTATCACTATGTTGAGAACTGGTTATGAACGAGAATGGGAAGATTACACTGTAAGCAGCAGTGACATGTGGGCTACAGTATATACAGAGTATGCAACAACAAAAAAAACTAATTTTAACATAAATATCTCCACTCAGACTGGTTGGTAGTGGAGTGGAGGAAACCCTTGAGCATTGTCCTTCCAGATAGTCAGAACC